ACTATATATATATATATATATATATATATATATGAGTTTGTTTAGAGTTAACTACCCCTCAAAATATAAAGGTTTAAATTAGAAGGTTGTGATGAGTGTATTTATCAAAACAAACATTATTTTTTATTAAAAAATTATTTAAATAAGTAACTTTACTGTCAAGCAAGGGTAAATTCATAATTTTCGTAAAAATACAATAACATTTTAAAAATTAGTGACCTAAAACTTTATTTGTAGAGTGCCTTTGTCATTTAATTAAAATTTCAACTTTACCCCTTACGAAGATATCAAAATTATCGTTTGTCTTGTAACAATATACCTATCCCTATCGGTTAAGGTGCTAGCCCTCTCTCTATGGTTTTGTCTCTCTGCTATGGTTCTCTCTCTCGATTAGGGTATTAGCCGTCTCTCTCTTTCACAGCTCTGGATCTCCCTCTCTCGGCTTTGGTTCTCTCTCTTTGGTTCTTTCTATGCTCTGGTTCTGTCTCTCTATGTTAGTTTTCGAAAAGCTTTCTCTAAGAATGGTTGAACGGTTTGTTTGCTTCAGTTTATGAATTGGGTTCTTTTTTGTTTTATTTTTTTCTGAGTTGCATTTCAATCGATGCCTTTCTCGATTCATGTTTGTGGGATTCATTTTTTCCCCTTTATGAGTTGGGTTTTTATGAATTCTCTTTGCGGCTTTCTCTGCTGATGGTTAACGAGCTTAATTAGTTAATGGCTTTGTGAGTGTGCTTTTCTATGAACTTTTTGGGGTTTGAAATTTTCTTTGAGGATTGTTGATTGATTTATTTAGTTCATTTTGTAAATTGGATTCATTTTGTAGTTGTAACTACTTTTACCAATTTTTCGCTGTTTCCATTAGTTTTACAGTGAGCAGGCTTCGAGAGACCTTATGAACTACTTCAACTTGAGGTATGCATGCATGTATTCTTGTCTCTTATTGTTTGATGAAATGCTTCAGTATGTTGTGTTCCGGATTTGGCAAATTGCAAATCTCCTTCATATTTTGAGTCATTTTTAGTAGGTTGCTGGTTATCTCTATTGAACCTTTGGTTTTTATTCTTTCCTCAGCATAATTTGTGTAGTAGGTAATTAAGACAAGAGTTGAATAAGGATTGATAGTAATTGATTCTAGTTGTTTTTTTCTTTTCAGGGAGGTTCTAAAGATTATAAATAAGGGGTTAGAGATAGGTTCTCTCATGTAGAGTGTTATGTCATTGTTCTTTTCTAAGTAGGTCGCTTTGCTAGAATTGGCTGTTGTTTGAGAGTTCTTTCTTGTCTTTCTTTACTGGGAAACTTTCCATATGTCAACATATATAGATAAATTATTTGTGTCTAGGTACTCAGTCTGATCTTCTGGACAAAAAATGGCAGAAAACTGGCCGAATTTCTTAGCTGACGCCTTGCCCCATGCAAGGGATTTGAATGGAACCAAGTGTCAATAAAAGCACCAAGAAAAGGCAAAAAATATAAAAACTTTTATTGTTCAGCATTTAGAAACCAATGTTTTGTATCTATGCTGTGTTGACTCGGAATCGGCTGTGTTACTTGGATTCAGTATGGTGCCGAGGCGAGTAACCATGCCCATGCTCAGGGGCTAGGGTACCTATACTGTCCCTAGCAAATAATAATTCTGGGTATTGTTAGTTTGGTTGCATTGGATTGGTCTGCCCGTGAAGCTCGTAACTCTACTATGATGGATTGGCAGTGGTCGCAGAAATTTTCATTAATCAGCTGAACATGGTTCACATTTTGCGTTCCTCTCTCTCTCTCTCACACACAATGAGGTTATCTATGATGAAGTAGTTAAAGATATCAAAATCAGTATAAAAAATTTACCAAGCGAGAAAGTATCACTCAAGTAACAACTATATGGTGGGTGTGATTGTTATTAGATATGGGAATATTGTGTAAATGAAAGTAGATTCTAGTACACAATGTCTATTATTTAAGAACATAATTGTTGTTGAAATTACTTGCTTTATCCATGGGACGTCAACTGGTGTGAATACTTATTGGGCTCTTGCTTTTGATGATTGTGTGCTAGTGTCATTCACCAAATTGTGTTCTACTTGGGTGTAGGTGGGAAGATGGCAGTTTCATCTACATGACTGTGAGTCATTGATCAAGTTATTGGAGAATCAACAATATTTGATTGCGCATGGGAATTCTCAAAAGCGTGTAATCATAGTCATATTAGCCTTGAGTTTAGTGATTCATGTTGTATGTCTTTCTCCTTATAAAAAAAGGAGTAAGGTGTACTTCTCAATTTTACATGTATATTTCTTTCTCCTAGTAAAAAGGAGTAAGCGTGTAATCATAATAAGGTGTACTCAATCTTAATATATTTCTATTTGGATCAAAGGCAATTTCTATCTGGATCAAAGGCAAAGTTGAATGTATTTATTGTTTATATTTTTTATTTTTCTTCTACAAATATGAGACAAGGGTATACAATTAAGGAATGTCGAACACAGAGTTATGGATTGGAAAGATTATCTGTGCAAGATATAAATGAAAGGATTGTACCATTATAGGACTAAAAATCTTGCTCACAAAATTCAAATGCTATCATACAGGCTTTGCTTGGAGTGAGCACTCTTAGATATCACTCTTGAACCCCCTACACTTGAATTCTACTTCTGGCTAGTACATTATGAACTAACTATTTTCTTTATCATTGAAAAAAAAAAAAACTAACTATTTTTTTTGCATTTTTTCATACATTTGCATCTTTCCATTACAACATCAACAATAGATGGATTAGACCTGGGCGCACCAAAAAGGGTGGAGCTGAAAAATGTAAATGGTTCTCATATCCAAACCAAAATGAAATAGGATGTATCCAAGACCAAAATGAAATAGGGCGAACAGAGTACTTGAATTTACACATCGCAAGTTTCGAATGTGGGTCTGTTGTTTCGTAAAAAGTAGTTTTTCTTCGTTTAAAATGTTCCAATACGGACGCCATATGCAGAAGCCATGCTATGCACTCCCCAAGCAAAGGGACCATTTCAACGACAACTCCATTATCATTGCACGATGTGAATGACATTTGAATGGAAAATTTTTATGGAGAGAAAGCACTCATGCAACTCAGCACTTGAAAAGAAACGTGAGGTGCATATATTAACATTGCACAAATTTGATTGTTATACGAAATAACATCAATTTTATAGACAAGATACATTGAAAAGGTCAAATATATTCTATAACGTTCCTGTCTTGTATACATTGAAAAAGCAGAAACGTGTACACTTTAATTTCGTGTCTTATATATATTGAAAAGGTAAAATACATTGAAAAAGCACAAACGTGTACCAACACAATGAACATATATTCTATAAAGTTCTTTTCTAAAGTGAATACAACAAAAAAAGGCAAAATAGACATCTTGCGTCCGCAATAGCAAATTGAGAAAGGCAAAATAGACATCTTGAGTCTACAGCAGCAAATTGCAAAAAAGCAAACTAGACATCTTGAGTCCGCAGCAGAAAATTCAAAAAGCCAAAATAGACATCTTGAGTCCGCAACAGCAAATTGAAAAAGCCTAAATAGACATCTTGAGTTTGCAGTAACATATTTCTCCCTAGTGCTCCCTGAGGTGGTTGAGAACCATCTGCTCTTGTTATATGCATCAACGAAGATCACTTTATTGCTTTCCACCAATTTTAGATCACTTTGTTGCACCCAACCTAATTCACAATACTACAATGTATTTCAATAATCATATTCATGTTCTCAAAATTTTGCAATCAATAACAAACAATCATTGATAAGGTAGCTATACAAGACAAGAAAAGAACCCACTGTTTTCCAAATAAGTCCACAGGTTTTGTGATCTCACTGTTTGGACAATTCAAAAACTAAAGAGTTTACCAATATAAGATAGCTATACAAGACAGGAAAAGAACCCACTTTATGCAAATGGACAAAGCAACACGTGCCTACAAAGAATCAATCACTAAACAACAAGCAAGCAATCACTACAAACAAGAAAACAATTTACAGGTGCTTCAAAAACAAAGCAAGTAATCGCTACAATTCATAGTGCTCCTTACGATCAATGGTTTACTTCAGCATTCCTAGCAGACCGTTCACATTTTTTCAGCAGCCCTGAAGAAGGAAGACAATTTGCATTGTTAGAATTTCATATTACATTTAAAAGTTCTACAATTATAAGTAAGCTCTACTACAACCAGAATTAAGAAGTTTGTACAGTCAAAATTCAAGAGATACTAATGGTATACATTATTACTTTGCATGAATGAATGACGGACAATTTCTTTTGTCGTGCCCACTGCCCTTGCAAACTGTGCATTTCCTGGTATTTTCCTTCGGCTTCCACCCTTCCGATCGAGCTTTCTTTCTTTTATTGGTAGATCTTCCGTTTGTCCGTGCTCGTGGAGGCTCAAGGATATTTTGGCAATGGTCACTTTCACTTGGTGTGGCACTACAACTAGTTGCATTCTCATCGATATTAGCATTCGCTTCAACATTGCCATTCTCTTCAGCATTACAATTGATTGTGGCGCCATTCTGTGGACCTCCCTTATGCCCAAATTGGATATCAACTTGACAAATTCCGTTTCGTATTATAGCCATATAAATTCGTAGAGCTCTTCACTCTCTGAAGCACGCTCGGTGAGGTATCGAGTTGCCTGATAGACCTCGTTATATCTAATGGAGCGTGGTAGTTGAGATGTTTCTTGAATTTGATTGCCACTCTTATCGTTAAAAACCCCATTTTTTTTATCCTTCTTCCAACACTTCATTATATATTGTGGGGGTATTTCAAATACATTCTTCACCATAAAAACCTTCAACACATGCCTACAAAGAAGACCCATCCTCTCATATAAGTGACAACTGCAACAAACGTTATTGTCATTGGAATTAAATTCCACAAGGTAGGGTGTGGAATAGCTTCTTGGTATTGCTACCTTAAAAGTGGCAAGCAATCCGTTGTCCTCAATTGACTCGCTCATGAAATTAATACAATTCACCACCTCTTCCGCAAATAACTTCATAATCTTTTGAGTATAGATATCATAAGAGGATACGTACATCTTGAAGTGCTTATTCATCCCTTCACTCCTTTGAGTGGAAGACATACCCGCTGTAAGCGTGTCACTCAAGTATGCATCGACCCATTGCATGCGACAACCATAGAGCCTAATAAGCCACTCATTACTTTCTAGCCCATAATTCTCAATCATATCTTTCCACCCCAATTCAAATTCTTCCACTGTTGCACTTGCCACACACCTCTTGAAAGTTTTTGAACAATTTGGACGCCTACGCAAGACATGACATATTTTTCTTTAATCTTAGATAGTATATGCCACTTACAATAATGATGCTTACTTTGGTCAAAAACTAGTCTCACTGCATCTTGATCAGTGAGAATAACTCCAGGCTGACGTCCCCCCATAGCTTCTAACAAATTTTCAAATATCCATACAAATGATTCAACCATTTCATTAAAAAATGAGTGCAAATCCAAAGAAAGTTGTACTGTGATGGTGATTTATACCAAGAATCGGTGCAAATGGCATATCACAGCTGTTTGTTTTGTATGCGGTATCAAAAGTTACCACATCAGAGAAGCACCGGTATGAAACTCTAGAAAAGGCATCTACCCATAAGATGCTCAGGATGTGATTGGCTTCATCTAATTTAACTCTATAAAAAAAAGATGGGTTCAATTCTTTCATTTTGTAAAGCCATTACATAACAAGACTTCCATCTTCTCCTCTTGGTTTTCATCTGGAGTTAGCGATTACATTTTGGATGTCTTTTTGTGTACAATAAACATTATCAATCCCTCCAGATTGCTCTATGAAAATGTCATGAATATTCTGGCCTTCACCAATGCCGAGCTCATTGAACCTATCATCAACTTTGCAGCGCTTGATATTGTTCGATGTGAGCGAATTAAACGAGCTTTTCTTGGAGTCAAAAACCGTGATTGTGTTCCTTAACAATCCTAGTCACAACCCACTCATTATTTGTGTTTCTACTTAGGCCCATCTTAGCCATACAACCACACCTTGATTCATGGCGTACCTTTCACCTACCTGATCTTCTCTTGGCGAAACCCTTCCTTAGAACAATTGAGCTCTCTATCAATCCTTTGGCCATCTTTATTGTGGCAGTCCCCTTACGGACACGAAAACCTTTGGCTAATGTATACTCCTTATAATACTCATATGCCTCATTCTCTGACCAAACTTCATCCCTATATATGGTTCTTCTATTTGTAGGCCATTGGTTGATGAGCTATGTTCCCCATCTCGCATTTCTCTAAGATAAGGAACCTGCTCCATGGTCTCAATGGTGTCATTCGTGCTGTCTACAATTGGGCACGGAGAAGATAACACACTAATTGACATGGTGGGATCTATAAAAACCTTTCAACTTATCCCACACAAGTAGAGGTCTGCAAATATTGTCTGCAAAAATCAATTGAGTTGTTCTATCAAAACACTATATGGACAAACATCACAAAAGAATAACCATTATAAATTGTCTATGGAAGTTTTAAAATCTAATGTATCTAGTGGATAAATCATACAAAAACAAGTCCATCAGCAAAAATTGGGCTCTCATGGGTGTGTTTCTAGTAAGAAAATGATTTTAAAAAAAAAATGTATATACCCCTGAGTTGTAAACAAAAAGTAGTCAAGTCCAAATTAGTATCTAATTATGTAAGTTAAATGAATCCTGGTTAAGTTTAAGGGCAGAGTCCTTTATTGAGAATTGACTCTAGAAGAATCCTTACAAGTTAGCAAATGTTTATATATAACACATGGACTGAGCACCAAATTATAGAGTGGCAAACCTAAGTTTTCAAGTTGTGAGACCTCAAGTTGCCAAGTTACTTATACCTGACCTTGTGTCAAAGGGATGGTATTGTGGAGTCCTTAAGCAATGAAGGGAGGTAAAACCACATCAAAGCTATTTGATTTTGGTTAATAAACCAGTCCATACTTAAGAGCTTTCTTCCCTTCCAGATATTCTCCATGTCTCTTCCTTGCAAATATACGAAATTTTATTTTGGAATAGGTAGATAAGGACAAGCAGGAAAATGACAAAAGAATTTCTTATTAAGAATCAAAACTTTATCATGGATATTCATCGCTGATGCCAGCATTGTTGATGTGGTAATTATGATGTGGTTCAATTGTGGTTTCAAGAAAGAGCATACAAGTAGGAGGGATCAAGTCAATTGCATCAAGCAAGCAAAACCTAAATGAATATAAGAAAGATGGGCAAAAAACTGAATAACCATCCCCTTGACAGAATGAAATATCACTACAAAAACTGATCTCACATGAAAAATGGGCAAAAAAATACTAATGCATGTAATAGTATAAACTCAGATTTCTCAGACATGACGTGAAGACCTTACTCATAATCCAAAAATCTTTTTTTCCTGAGGAAATCGTAGTCCAACGATCTTGCATTCCCCCAAAAGAATGAGAGGGACTTACTCTTGTTCACCAAAATCCAAACAGAACATAGATTATATCAAATTAAACCTAAACCCAAACTTGCCAAATAAGTCTTAACTAAGTAACTAGAATTTACAGAGAGAATAGGGTTGGAACTTAGGACAACTTGAAAAATTGGGTAGAAGCAAGTTTTGAACAGGAATTGAGAGTAGGAGTAGCACCCATGGAGAAGAAACTAGTGACTAATGCATGAGAATGTGTGCAAAAGGTAACTTGAGGATTAAATTTCCAACTTTAAAACTTAATTTCTTTTATTTTATTTTTTGTGAATACTCTTTAATTTGAGAATTTGGGTGGAGCCTAGCTGAACCATAGTTTTGAATTTGAGGGAATTTCACTAGATACTTTTAGGGGCTCCAACTTGGAGATTGAACTTCACACTGCAACATTACATTTTTTTTTTTTTTTAATGATCTTTGATTTGGAAATTAAATAAATAAATAACCTAAACAAGCGATTCTCAAACATACTGCTGCTTCAAACGTAAACAAACCCAAATAACATAAAGATAATCCCCAGAAAAATACTCGTTAAACCTATCTTCCTTTGTACTATAATCAAACAAAAAAGCAAAAAGAAAAACAAACCTAGTAGCCATGCTCAAAAAAGGGTCTGTTAAAAAATCTGTCAATCGATATTTCACAATCAGTTGTTTAGTGGTTCACCCTCAAGTGGATACCTGAACCTTGGCCACAACAGTAATGGGGCAAAGAGCATACCTGAACCTTGGATGCACCTCAAATCCCGAAGATTGCGCCAATCGAGCAAAGGAGCAACAACAATGGGGCAGCAACGAGAGAGATTGAGAGAGGGAAAAGCGGGAGATTGAGTAAAGGGAGGGATGGTTTGGGTGCCCCGATCGTCTGAGAGAGGTTTGCAACAGCGTAAGAGATTGAGAGAGCGAGAGATAGTTTGGTGGAGAGAGAGAGAAGCGTAGAAGATAGAGTTTGGGTGGAGAGAGAGGGGCAGCAGTGACTGATTGTGAATAGAGAGAGTTGCCATCATGAGAGGGCAGGGCTGCAGGAGATGGAGAGAGAGAAGGCCGTCAAGTTTGGGTGGAGAGGGAGAGGGAGAGGGAGAGGGAGGAGGGAGGAGTGGAGAGAGAGAGAGAGTGGGTATTGCGTGCGGTAGGGGGGGGGGAAAGAGAGACATAGGATCGCAGGCCAAGTACGGGGAGGGTACCGATGGTGATGCTTTGCAGGCTTTAACGTCTCAAATTTGAACCGTCCATTCAAACTATAACCAATCCCCATTGTTGCCGTACGAGGCGCCCATAAGCGAGGCTGCGTATGAAATGTTTTTCATATTTTTCTTTTAAATATATATATATATATATGAAAAAATCTTGCCTATAAACGAAGCTGCGTATGAAATGTTTTTCATATTTTTCTTTAAAATATATATATATATATATATGAATTGTTTTTCATATTTTTCTTTTAAATATATATATATATATATGAAAAAAATCTTTCGTAAAAATAATTAGTGATTTTATCTACCTTTGTCACCATTCAAATTTTATCGTGTGTCACGATTGTAAGATAGTATTTTATGTTTTTTTACAAATCAGAATTATTTAAAATTTTGAAGGTTTCTACATCTTACTTAAACGTATCTAATAAAAATATAAAAAACATTATCCGTGAAAAGCAAAATTGACCAAAATACCCCCAAAACATTTTAAGGGTATTTTAG